CAATTTACCTGGTTGCTATGAAGCTAGAAGAGGTCTTCATGGAAAGAAAAGAATATGATGGTTGATCTGGAACCAGCATAAATGACACAAATGCCATAGTTCACAAATTTTAGATAAAAATCTCGGAGATTTTCTTTCCAGCCATAAGAGGAATTTCTAGGCTTGCCAAATAGGATATTTTATGTAGACTGAAAGATCAAGGGAGTTTGAGTATCAAGAAATAGAAATGAAGAACATTTCTTTGCTCAGCAAGCTGCTTTTAGGCTCATTTATACGAGGAAGGGGTTTGACTGAAACAAGATTATTTTCTCAAGTGGAATTTAGTAGTGGGTATTCTCAGTTTTTGGACTGGGTTTATGCGTGTAAAGCATTTCCTTTTGCTGCTACTGCTAGGTCGGTTCCACCTCCAGTATGTCACGCAAGTTCACTTTTGGGAGGATACTTGGGCTGATATTGAACCATTTTGTCAAATATCCCATGATCCCATTTCCTCCTATCTAGTGTTGCGGGTAGCAAATTGTCATTACGGCGAGCAATCATTTGTGTTGGGCCTAACTTGGAACAAGCTTGGTCGAACAGGTGGAAACTATCGGGTTATCACAACAACTAGAAACCCTTCTGTTTCTCGGTTCAATCCATGCATCGGTCTCTTATGAGTTATCATATTTATTTTCGGCATAAACATATTTGGAAAATAAAAGTACCCTCAAGGATAACTTCTTTTTTGTGCTATCTTCTGAGCGGGATTGTTCTCACAAAAGAAACTATAATTATAAGGAAGAAAGTAGCGCCTATGTCTCAGTTAGCTGATAATTAACCATCTCAGTCAGTTTTCTAAACTTGTTCATACATACAAATCTGAAATGATGTTCACTGTACAAAAAGTGTAATATTGTCTCGTCTGATTGAGAATTAAGTTTTCAGTAAATTTTACAGATACGATCGTTCAACTAGTGCACAAACTTGCAACATTTGTCCCCAACGTTCAATTTTCAAATATAAAATCTTGCATGGATCTCAACTTCAAATCAACGGTCGGTGTTGATCGCAAATCCATTAAAAGAAAGTGGTGGGAGATTACAGATTAGAGCTTCTTGTTTTTGTGATGAAAGACGAGACTAGTACAACGCATGTCATATTCCCCGCTTTATGTCATCTAGCCCTTTTGCCTCCCACCTTTAGGATTCTCATATGATGGAAAATTGGCTACTAGGGTTTGGGAAGGGGTTATGTTCAGAATAGCCATATACTCCCTCCGTTCCTAAATATTTGTCTTCCCAGACATTTCAAATGACTACTACATACGAATGTATGTAGACATATTTTAGAGTGTAGATTCACTCATTTTGCTTCATATGTAGTCACTTGTTGAAATGCCTAGAAAGACAAATATTTAAGAACGGAGGGAGTATATATATTGGTTTATATGACCATCAGAACGATGTTAACTTTGATAAGAAAGTTCTCTATTATCCTCTAAATCAGGTGATCAAATGCGGTGGCTTACCACGATCGTGGGCCCCATTGCAAAGAGCAGAGTTCAGAGAAGTGATGTCAACAGGGGAAGGTCGTGGTCACAGACGTATTTTCTGCTACTAGTTGGCCCACCTGCAAGCGACTAGGCGATGGCAGACTTTTCTGAACTTCAATTTACTTATTATCCGCCTAGTTGCTTATCATATGTCTGTTCAGATGTTGTGACTTGTTTGGATGGTACGTGTAACAAGTACTCTTGTTTGCACGGTGAATCCCCTCGATTTAGGGCCAGTTCTTTTGAGTGCCGCTGTGGAAATAAGCTACTCTAGAAATAAGTCACAGATAAGCTGTTGTGGAAATAAGCTATCCAGTTCTTTTCACTTCCTTTCATTTAGCTTATTTCCTCATCTGTTAGGTGAATAGTCTGTAATACCCTTGAATAGTATGGAAGGGGAACAACGGGGGCGCACAACCAGGGCATTGGCAACGGCTGCTCTGGCTCGGGCTCCCGACCAGCTGCGACGCGCCTCGGTGCTCCGGAGTGGGGCGCCGTCCACCGGAGTGGTGCCCTGGCCGGACCGACCAGGAGCTGTTGCGAGGGAGGAGCCGTGCCCTAGGAGTCGCGCCAGAGGACAGAGAAGCGGCGGAAGATAGGCTCCTACTCACCTTCCATGTGGCCGGAGCTAGCCGCGACGAGGAGCCCAGGGACCGGCGGCGGCGGCAACGAGGAACCCTAGTCTTCGCGGCGTGCGAGAGCGAGAGGGGATCGAGCGAGGCGACGGGTTTCCTTTCTGTGGGGGGTCAGGTCGGGTGACGCGGGCTGGAACCTGGGAGGGGTATTTCCTTTGTAATTTGAGCGAACAACAGTGCCATTTTGGCATACCCCTTCGGTTTTAAGTCATAAGCTGCGGGAAGCTACTCTACCCCCAGCTTTTTTCCATCATGAAGAAACTAGCGGTGGAAATAAGTTGAGCCAGCTTCTCAAAACGAGTTCTTTTGGGCTTCTAGCTTATTTCTGTCATAAGCTGGTAGAAGCCACAAAAGAACTGGCCCTTAAAATCCCAAGAGCAACATGGCTCTTCCTTTTCTAAACATGGAAGTGAATGAGAAATCTTAGAATTATTTTTTGCGAACACGCAAAAGACATACATGTCGATTTATTAGAAGAAAGAGAGAGCACAGAGAATCCAGCGACAAGCCACGGTTACAAGGGACAACATAGAGATGACGGGCAAGCTACCACAATGTCACAACCTATAGAACAACAGGCGACGGAACGACAGGGCCGAGGCCACATTGAAAGAGAGCGTGGCATGCCAAACTTCCTTGGGAAACACACAACCAAGCCTCGTGTTTAATTAAAGGGAAAAAACATATTATTATCGTTTCCAATGTGTCCAAAATGCCCTTCTTAAACCCTAAGATTTAGGCATGAGCTCACATGTAACCATGTGGGACCCACCCTAAATTTTGGGATTTTTAAGGGAATTATTTTGGTGCTTTGGAATCGATCAAAATAAATAAATAAGTAATTAGAAACAAAATAAAATAAACAAAAAAGTTTTTTGTTGTAAGTAGAAACAAAACAAAATAAATAAAGCAAAAAAGAAAACAAAAAAACTGAGAAAAAAAATTGCCACCTACTAGGCCACCACGGTCTGAATACGACTAAAAACCCATTCATGGGCCAGGATTCAGGCCCGCAGAAGGCCCAGTAGGCCCATAGGCATAGAAGTGTTAGATTTGGCTCATAGGCCTGCAATTCAGAGGAGTTCGGAAGGGAAGAGGCAACCGAGCTTATAAACAGGTGTCGAACGCTCTCAACTAGCGAGATGAGACTAAACTCCCACCACCAAGCCGTTGTGCAAGGCCTTTGGTCCCGGTTGGTGGCACCAACCGAGACTAAAGGGGGGAATTGGTCTCGGTTCGTGGCACCAACCGGGTCCAATGCCCACCCTTTAGTTTCGGTTGGTGCCACCAACCGGGACCAAAGGCCTCTGCTTCCCGCCCTTTGGGCTGCTGAAAAGAGACGCCACCAACCGGGATTAACGGTGGCATTGTGATGTCTACTACACAACCTTCTTCTTGTAGACGTTGTTGGATCTCCAAGTGCAGAGGTTTGTAGGACAGTAGCAAATTTTCCTCAAGTGGATGACCTAAGGTTTATCAATCCGTAGGAGGTGTAGGATGAAGATGGTCTCTCTCAAGCAACCCTGCAACCAAATAACAAAGAGTCTCTTGTGTCCCCAACACACCCAATACAATGGTAAATTGTATAGGTGCACTAGTTCGGCGAAGAGATGGTGATACAAGTGGTATATGGATGGTAGATAAATGTTTTTGTAATCTGAAAATATAAAAGCAGTAAGGTAACTGATGATAAAAGTGAGCATAAACGCTATTGCAATGCGTTGAAACAAGGCCTATGGTTCATACTTTCACTAGTGCAAGTCCTCTCAACAATAATAACAAAATTGGATCATATAACTATCCCTCAACATGCAACAAAGAGTCACTCCAAAGTCACTAATAGCGAAGAACAAACGAAAAGATTATGGTAGGGTACAAAACCACCTGAAAATTATCCTTTCTGATCGATCTATTCAAGAGTCCGTAGTAAAATAATATGAAGCTATTCTTTCCATTCAATCTATCATAGAGTTCGTACTAGAATAACACCTTAAGACACAAATCAACCAAAACCCTAATGTCACCTAGATACTCCAATGTCACCTCAAGTATCCATGGGTATGATTATACGATATGCATCACACAATCTCAGATTCATCTATTCAACCAACACAAAGAACTTCAAAGAGTGCCCCAAAGTTTCTACCAGAGAGTCAAGACGAAAACGTGTGCCAACCCCTATGCATAGGTTCATGGGCGGAACCCGCAAGTTGATCACCAAAACATACATCAAGTGGATCAATAGAATACCCCATTGTCACCACGGGTATCCCACGCAAGACATACATCAAGTGTTCTCAAATCCTTAAAGACTCAATCCGATAAGATAACTTTAAAAGGAAAACTCAATCCATTACAAGAGAGTGGAGGAGGAGAAACATCATAAGATCCAACTATAATAGCAAAGCTCGCGATACATCAAGATCGTACCACCTCAAGAACACGAGAGAGAGATCAAACACATAGCTACCGGTACATACCCTCAGCCCCGAGGGAGAACTACTCCCTCTTCGTCATGGAGAGCACCGGGATGATGAAGATGGCCACCGGAGAGGGATTCCCCCTCCGGCAGGGTGCCGGAACGGGTCTAGATTGATTTTCGGTGGCTACGGAGGCTTCTGGCGGCGAAACTCCCGATCTATTGTGCTCCCCGAAGTTTTTGGGGTATATGGATATATATATATATATAGGAGGAAGAAGTACGTTGGTGGATCTCCGGGCTGTCCACGAGGCAGGGGGGTGCGCCCAGGGGGGTGGGCGCGCCCCCCACCCTTGTGGGCAGCCCGGGACTCTTCTGGTCCATATCCGATACTCCGCGGGCTTCTTCTGGTCCAAAAATAAGCTCCGTGAAGTTGCAGGTCAATTGGACTCCGTTTGATTTTTCTTTTCCGCGATACTCTAAAACAAGGAAAAAACAGAAACTGGCACTGGGCTCTGGGTTAATAGTTTAGTCCCAAAAATAATATAAAAGTGTTTAGTAAAGCCCATAAACATCCAAAATAGATAATATAATAGCATGAATACTTCATAAATTATAGATACGTTGGAGACGTATCAGTCACTACTCGCCGACACATGTCCGTGCTACCTCCTGCTTCCTACCGGTACTTAGGAGAGGATACAAACGCCACCTATGTGCCTGAGCTTTCCCATCTTGTTTCCTCGCCCTCCCCCCCCCCTCTCATTTCGAGCATGCTCGTGAGAGACCCGTCATCACTGTCCACCATTAGGGTGGCTACCATCGCCCCCTCGGCAAACCAACATGCCATCGACGTTGGGGGCCCTACACCGAGCGAAACGACGCCATCTTCCCCTAACACTTTGTCGTCGACGATTCACCGCCTACCGCCCACCCTCGACCTCGTCGTCTTCGTCACTAGAACCATGGTGTCGATGCTAAAGCCGACGGATCTCGGATAGGGGGTTCCAAGCTGGTGATCTGAGCAAGATGATAGCAGGAGAAAATAGGGACACGATGTTTTACCCATGTTCGAGCCCTCTCAAGGAGGTAAAACCCTATCTCCTGCTCTTGTTTATATTGATTTTGAAGAGGTACAAAGTACAATATGATCTAACTCGAGATCATATGAATGAGTTCTAGCCTCTAAAGCTTGTAATCCCGCCTCTATGATCTAAACGCCACGACTTGTATAGGCACCGGGAGTATCTAGAATTTACACATGGTCGGCTACAATCTAGGGATACACATTCCCATCATTTAAATGTGCCCTGAAGTGTATGCCAAGTCTTCGAAAATCTTAATCTTGATTACGCCGAGGGCCAGTGCCTGTATGACCCATCCATCAGTTATTGGTGGGTCCTCGACCCGACACAAAAGTAACGGGTCAACGTGATAAGCACCCCTAGTCCAGGACACCAACAGTAATCCCTAAACTAGTCTTCAAGTCGAGGACACCGAGCTTCAACTGTGCTTCCGAGTGAACCACAATTATGCTCCGCGTGAAACACAACTATGCTTTATGAAAAGTGAAAAGCACACTTGTGCTTCTGCGTGAAACTTGAAA